CAGCATGACCTACGTGCCCATGTGTCACTCATTTGATTACTTCCCCTTTCTTTTCCATAGATTCCATCCTTAAGAGCAAAGAGAGCTTAAGTGCAGTGACCCTCCTCTGCTAGGACCTCCAGAACGCACATCACGGACGCCTGAGCGCGTAACACTTTTCTTCTCATGCCTGTTTTCTTTGATTCGCCTCTCACGCGCTTCCATTCCATGGTGGAGGTACTACAGACTCCCAAGGTTGGTGACTAAAGCTTTCCTGCTCCCCACCCAACACCAGCCCTAGTTATTTTTCTCTGTTGAGTTTTTCAGAGCTACAGAGTAAGCTCAGCCTTCCTGAGGACTAAACTGCAACCACAGCAGTATTTTAGCAATATTTTGGGAACCCGAGAAGCTGCATCCTCTTAGGATGGGAGGTTTATATGATTTTGCATCTTTTTAAATGTTTCACTAGTGAATCTGAAACACATTAGTCATTAACCCTTTTCCCACTTACAAAATAAACTTATTAACGTGTTATATTCATAAAGATAATAACTGAGATATGAAACTTAAGAAAGTTTGTGGGAAAGTTGGTTTTCAAAGAGAAGAATCTCAGAATGAAACTAAAGAGCATGGTGTGGTAGACACCACCCTTAAGAAAAATGTTATACTGCCAAAAAAAATACGTAACTACTTATTAACATGCCTGACCTCTAGCTGAAAACTATGTCCTGCGATATTTAATTGATACATGCTCATTCTAGAAAACTTAATAAATCCTGAAACAAAAACTGAAAGGAAGCCATACTCAATTCAAAACAGTTCCTCTACCAAACAGACACATAAAACCTACCAGTTCCTAGAATGTACTATAATTGTTACAGAACTATCATGGAAAAATTCAAATAACTTCTATATAATTGAAACAGAAAATACTTAAATTTTAAAACCAACTTTTGCCAAAACTAAAGGCTATGCTTCTTTCATACATGGTTTATTTAATCTGAAGGCATAAATCAGATTACTTGTTTATTAAGGAAAGTTCTTTTAGAATTACTCAAGTTATAAACACACTTACCCATATATCATAATATGTAAGTAACTGCACTCCCAAAAAACTGCCTAAAAACCCTTTGGAAACATGAGAGACTAAAGCCTGTAATTTTCCAGATCAGAACAATTTATTACGCTCAAGCAATAAATACTTCCCTACATACACATAACACTAAAAATGTTACAGTAATTTCTTGGCATATTTCTTTCATGCTCACTGATTTAAATTTGAAGTATTTTCATCATATGAATTATCAATCTAGTTAAAGCACCATAAAAATGTAAAATGTCATAACTATTGTTACCTGAAAAAGAAAAATAAATCACATTGCTAAATAAATCTATTCCCACTTTTTGTAAAGGGTACTTTAATATTTTGTATTTTAAAGTAATTTAGACTTAACAGAAAAGTTGCAAAAAATATATAGATTTCAAGCTTTACCCACCTTTCCCTAACATTTACATCTGACATAACCCTCGTAGAATTTCCAAAATTAAGAAATTAAACACTGGTACAGTACTACTAACTAAACTATAGACTTCATTCCAACGTTGCCTGTTTTCCCACAAATACCCTTAAAAGTATTTTTTAAATAATATTTTTCCACAAGAATCCCAAATTCACAAGGTTATGTTAAGGTTTAATTTATTCCAAATACTGTGGAAGAAACAAAGGGCCAAACCTGTTTGTATTTCTATCTCTGCAAACCAGTTTGCTTAAGAGAACTTAACACATCAGATCTATTATAATGTAAAACTAAACACTTTGTTGTATAATATATATTACAACCCAGCTTTTAAGAATTCGGGTCAAAGAGGAATGACTTGCCAGCTATTTGGCTTCTCACCATGGAAAAGAGAATTTCAAACAAAAGTAAAATGATTTCACTTCCTTGAGTCTGACTCAATTCCTTTTCACAAAAGTTATTTTTAATGACCATTAAAAGCCTAGAAGGCAGAAAGTGAGCCTCCAATAAGAATACTGGCATTAGAAATTCCCAGAATATTAACAAATTAGAAATTGTAAAGATGAAAAAAAAAAAAGAAATTGTAAAGATGGAAAACAATTTTTAAAATGGAATGTTTATAGTAAATAAAGTCCACGTGAACCACAAACTGAATTCTTTTTTTCTTCTAGTAAGTTTAGCATTCCATTTCTGATCTCTGGAATCCAAACTCCCTATAGTCCACTTCCAGAAATGATTAATTAATAACCATATAAATTCCAAACCCTTCCCAAAGAGGACAGGAGATTGAGAGCACTGCAGAAGGGGAAGAGCAAAGTCCCATGTGTATAAATCTCAGTCGCACAAAAAAAACACACTGATCACATAAAATCTCATGATTTCGGCCATTGGGTGGCCTAACCCCCTTGTGAAACCCTTGTGAAAAATGTTCATTTCAAAGTCAGGGAAATGCCAGCCAAGTCTAACTTCCTACAGTCATCCCTCTCCCTCCCTTCTGTATCAGTTTAATTCTTGTACAATGTGAATACTTGCAAATGATCAGCATTCACATCAGCTTTTTATTCAACAAACTGTGCTTGCCTGTTAAACCTAAGACTTCATGCTAAGTGTTTTATGGGGAACCAAGAAGGAAAAAAATATTAACTTAGCCTTCAAGGAGCTTACAATCTATCGCCTCTATCCCTAAATTGATTATCACAGCAGGTGTGTCAGGTGAAAAGCAGCCAATTATTACAACATTCCAGAAGAATCCTAAAAAGAAGTAAGTATCAATGTCACTCATAACTTTCCCAACATACACAGAGAAACTGACTTTTCCAAAGCATTAGGAGCCCCACACCTACACTATCTAAAATGTAAAGTGGAGAGAAAAAACATAATGCACGGCAACATATCTGATCGTTGCATACACAAAATTTGCCAACTTCAAATATTTACAATTTCAACATTTCAACATAATCTCTCGGATACCATGCTTCATTCCCCCTTTGCCCACTAACATACTAGGATAACTCAAAAAGCACAACCCAGTTAATGGTATAATAACAAATAGGATGATGTATTTCCTCTGAAAGAAAAAAATATGGCTAAATTTTAGTAAAAGTCTCTATGGGTTTGACAGTTTAAATCAGCCTTCACAAGGACACAGGTCAGTACTACCTAATGCTGAAATCCTTTTTAATGATAAAAGGACTGATGCTTTAAATAAGCTACATATATACTTGTTACCATCCCCTTGCACACAACTTAAAAATCCATCCAAACGCTACTTGACAGGCTTAACTTTAAACAAATCTCCGCCAGGGAGTTATGAATCTTAATAAAGAGAAAACCATCACTAAGGCCCTCATATTTGGCTTCTAACACTAACCGGTTACAAGGCTCTAAAACTGGTGAGTTGACTCCATAATTTGCTAATAAGAAAGAATGAAGGCCAAAATTTGCATCAATTTTATATCAGGCAGCAGTGTATCGTTTTAAGTCCTCTGGAGCACGTGCACTTACGAGACAGTTAAGGAAATATTAGACTTAGGGAAAGGGTATTTCTTTATTGAAGTTGACAGTTTGCATTTCACAGTACAGAGCAAACTGCCAACCACAATCTCATTTTCATCTTTGCGGCCAACTGCGGTCAAGGGTCCTGGAGCTCAGCAACACACAGGACACAGGCATCTGTGCCTATCTATGTGCACCGAGGACTCCAAGAAAGTAAAAATTTATGTTTCCAGAGACCAGACAGCCAAACATCTCCAATGTTTAGAATATGCATTTTACCGTCAGTGAAAAACCCCTTCACCAAAAAAAAATTTTTAAAGGTCCAACTTACTCATTCCTCCCTAATAAACATAGAAACCTGTTTTGCAACCCAAGTTTATGGCCAAATTACTGGGGGTTTTATTATATTAAAAACAAGAAGCCCAGGTCCACCATTATACGTGGACCTTAATGAAACTAATATATATGAAAAAGTGTGCAAATGTGCACGCGTCTGCCGTGCGTCCACATGTGTGCTCCAGGTACTGATGACAATCTAGAGGTAACCCCTGTAACACTGTGCGGCATTGGGCCCACACCTGACCCCCACCCCTGGGGTCTACAGGTCCTCTCCGCGAGGGGCTCCTCCCGGCTCGGCACGCCCCCGCGCGTGTTACTAGACACGCGCGCGCGGGTGAGCGCGCACACACACACACACACACACACTTGCACGCACAGTCCCTCTCTTCCCACCTGGGACCCCGGGCGCCGGGGCTGGGTTAACAAGCTGCCACTGGCCGCAGCGCTCCGCTGGGGACCGAGGGCGGGTAGGTGGGGCCCGGAGAGCGCAAGGCCGCGTTGGCCCGGGGCCTGGGAGCCTGGACGCTCCCTCCTGGGCTGCCGGGTCCTCCCGCTGGGACCGACGAGAAACGCCCGCCCAGGCTCTTTGGAGCCGCCGCGCGACCGTCTCAATAAGCCGGGGTCGCCGGCCGCGAGGGGCTGGGGGCGGCGGCAGGAAGGGCAGGGCGCCGGGCGAACGCCACCACCGGAGTTGCTGCAGGGTCTGGACGATCGCCGCGAGCGCAGCCGGGCACCGGCGACCCGGCTTGGCCGCTGCTCCGGGTCGTAGAGATCGCTCAGCGCCCACGCCCGGCAGCCCCGGGCTGCCGCGCCGAACTTCAAGCAAAGTTTTCTGCTGTTCCTCTAGGAGCCGGCCGGGGACTCGGAGTGGCAGCGGTCCGCCCCAAGCACGAGGCCAGGCCGCGGGGTGCGGGGGCGAGACGAGGGTCCGGGCTTTGAAGCTAGTGCTCGGGGCTCGCCGGCTCCTGCCGCCCGAGTTGCCGGTGCCCGCCCTCCCCACCGGCCCCTTCTCCAGCGCCGGCTAACGAACAGCAGCTGTGCCGGGCCCGCCGCGCCCCCGCCCCAGACCCGCTGCCCGCCTCGGGCTCTCCAGGCCTGGGAGCTGCCGGCGTCCCGGGCCCCCGCTCCGGCCCTCGCGTCCCCGGCGGCGGCACAAACGGTCCCACCTACCTGAAAACGTCTCCCCTGCTGCAGTTAGCAAAAGTCCGGCCAAAGTCGCCAGGCATGTCCCAAGTCTCCTCATGTTGCCGAGTGCGCGCCGGGCCGCTCCCAGGCGGCGCTGGGTGGGCGCGCGAGGGCGGAGGGCGGACGGGAGCCTGGATTTCCAGGCAGCCAGAAGAGAAAGGTAAACAGCCAAAAACAGAACCGGAGCCCCAAAGTGTCAACAGTTGCAGAAGTCCGAACTCCGGCAGCTCCAGAGGCCGGGGGAGAGGGTCCTGGCTCCTCTTCCCCTGCCGCCTGCCCCACTAGGCGTATGGCGCGGCTGCGAGAAGGAGCGGAGGGCGCGCCCGCGGAGCCAAAATCCGCCCTCCGTTCCGACGCCTGCACCCGCCGCCGCTCTCCTTCCCCTGCTCGGGACCCGAGCCGCCGGCCGTGGCCGTGGCGCTGGGCGCGCGCGTCCTGACC